GGAAATGAAGCACCCACCGCGCTCCACACGCCCTGCCCCGCCGTAGCCTGGCCCTGCCGCATCTTCAAAGTAGCCGGACTCTTCCTTCCCAAAAGCTGAGAGCAGAGCAAGCAGACCTGCCGCCATGGAGGTGTTTGTGATGATTTGCCACCACAAGATCACCATCTCTGGGGACACAAAGGAGTCGAGCCCAATGCCGGAGCTGAAGCGCTTGGTGGAAGGCATCCTGGAGTGGCCGCCAGCGCAGCAGCGGCTTTACGAAAACGACCAGCTCCCGGACGACAGCATGACCCTGGCAGAGTGGGTTACACCTGGCAGACGGCCCACAGTTTATGCACTGTTCACCCCGCACCTGGATCTTCCTGCCGATGGGGTCGATGAGGCATGAGGCCTTCAGCACGGAGCCCTTCTGCAGCCCCACTAAGTAAAAGAGGAGGCTGGACTGTTAGGGAAGCCAGGCTGGCTGGAGGGCGAGCTGTGGAGCAGTTAAACAAGGGACTCGGGCCCTCTCCCTCAGATCAGACAGCTCTCACAAAGACTCCATTAGGGAAATGGACCTGGAAGATCTAATGAAAATGTTCATTTGAAATGACAAAGGCCCTTAATGGGGGGTGGACCTCCATTTTGCTTATCTTCCAATTTTTCCATAGTAAACATGCATTTGATTTGCAATCAGAATGAGTTGTGATTTTTTTCCCCTCTGACTGGAAAAGTTATATGCAACCCCATGTTGTTGAGGAGAAAACAATTGTTTCTACAGGAATTGGTCTTGCCTCTCTGCAGAAAGCTCTCTGGAAAGAGCTACATGACTCAGGTTCCTCCTTACCCTTGGGAGCTGGGTCTTCCCTTATAAACCCCAGAGAGAAACCCAAGCTGGGCTATAGTTTACAGCACTCCAGAAGCGTGGAACATGGCTGACTCAGAGCTCAGCGTGAGGTGTGCTGGTTGGCTCTCTGATTCCCATCCCCAAAGACCAGACCAGAACAGAGATCCTAGTGATCAACCTGGAACATCTGGGATAGCAATTAAGGGTCTGGTGGCTAGAAGGGCTGCACCTGGGGCCGGCCCGGTGGCGCAGCAGTTAAGTGCACACATTCTGGTTCGGCGGCCCGGGGTTAGCTGGTTCGGATCCTGGGTGTGGACGTGGAATCGCTTGGCAAGTCCTGCTGTGGCAGGCGTCCCACATATAAAGTGGAGGAAGATGGGCACGGATGTTAGCTCAGGGCCAGTCTTCCTCAGCAAAAAGAGGAGGATTGGCGGCAGATGTTAGCTCAAAGCTAATCTTCCTCAAAAAAAAAAAAAAAGAGATACATTAAACTCTTCACAGTGGTCTTCATGCTATCACAGAGTAATGGTTCCCAAACACAGCTGATAGAATCACCTGGAGAACTTTTAAAAAATCGAGATTCCTTGACTCCAGACCACTCATCATTTCTACTGAATCAGTTTTTGGAGGTGGATCTGGAGAAGGTGGTTTGTTGTTTTTTTAAAGTTGCTGATTCTCTCATTTATTTCTCGTAAGTAGGTGAATTGATGTGGCTTTTGGAGGGTATTTTAGAAGATGTATCAAAATTTCAAACGTCCAGATCCTTCCTCTGAAAAACACATGCATCTGTCTATTCAATACCTCCCCCTGGATGTTTTAAAGATATCTTGAAATCGATATGTCCTAAAGCAAATTCATGATTTTCTTTACTCTGAGCCTAAATATGGAACTTTCTCACTCTCTCCCAGGGAACAACATATCATACACTCAGCCACTCAACTCAAAACCTGGGTCTCAGAAGCAGCACAGAGTCTGGGTCCACAGTACCTGGGCTCAAATTTCAGTTCCACCACTCACTTTGGGCAAGTCTGTTTCCTCACCTATAAAACGGGAACGATGCTAATAACAGCCACCTCGGTTAAATGAGTTAATACTTAGCACAGTGTCTGGGATACGGTTAGCTAGCATCATCATCTTCCTTGACCATTTCTCCCTCAGACTCCCCTTTCCAGTCGATCACCAAGGCTCTTCCTCTCCATCACTACCACCACACTCTTTAGTACATACTACATCATCTTTGGCAAAAGGAATGCAAAAATCTCCATTTAAAATGAAGGATCTTTTTTTTTTTTTAAGAAGGATCTTTTAAAAATGCAACAGATGATAGATTAGAGAAAATGAAATAAGATTACTTCTTTGTTTGAAACTCATCAATGATGTGCCATTGTTCTTGGGAAAAATAACAAAATCTTTAATGTGCCCAATCCCTAGCTCCACTGTCCAGCTACATTAGTTCCTCTTCTTAAATGCATCATAACCTCCTTACCACAGGGCCTTTGCATATGCTGCTCCCTCTGTCTAGAACAGTCTCTGCCTACATTCCCACTCCAATTTTACCCAATTAACTCCTAACATGTTTCAGATCCCAATTCAAACGTTACTTTCTCAAGGAAAGCTTCCCTTAACTCTCCCAAAGTAGATCAGTTTCCCCTGTTAAAAACTCTCCTAGGGGCTGGCCCCGTGGCCAAGTGGTTAAGTTTGCACGCTCCGCTGCAGGCGGCCCAGTGTTTCGTTGGTTTGAATCCTGGGCGCGGACATGGCACTACTCATCAAACCACGCTGAGGCAGCCTCCCACATGCCACAACTAGAAGGACCCACAACGAAGAATATACAACTATGTACCGGGGGGCTTTGGGGAGAAAAAGGAAAAAATAAAATCTTTAAAGGAAAAAAAACAACAACAAAAAAACTCTCCTAGCTCCACGTAACTTTCTTCCATAGAATTTATTACAACTTGTAATTATGTTTACTTATTATCTAATTGCCTATCTTCCTTACTAGTCTCTATAATTTGCTTATCACTGTATCCCAACACTTAGCCCAATGCCTGGTACAAAGCATGTGTTTAATAATTGTTGAATGAACTATGAAGGTCCTTTGACCCAGCAATTTTGCTTCCAGGAATGCATTCTAAAGAAATATGTATACAAACTATAACAATACTGCTATTTTTACCACCACTAACACCTAACATTTACTTACTGCATGCTTTTTCACAGGCTAACTCATTTAATCTTCACTACAGACTTATGAGATCCTCACTATTATCCCTATTTTGCAGATGAGCAAACTGGGGCATAGAGGCTAAGTAACTTACGCAAGTTTCCACAGCTGGTAAGTGGACAAAGAGATTTGACCTGGGCCCAGGAGCTCTGGAACTCCAGCTCAGGCACTCTCTACATTACAGTTTGTTGTTGCTGGTGCCGTGGAGTCGATCCCGACTCGTAGTGACCCTGTGTACAGCAGAACGGAACGCTGCCCAGTGTTTCTGTGCCATCCTCTCACCTTCCGGTGCTATATCTAACAATACTCCACTGCGATGCACAGGGTTTCACAGCCAATTTTTCCTGAAGAGGGTGGCAAGTTCTTTCTTCCTAGTCTGTCTTAGTTTGGAAGTTCCACTGAAACCTGTCCACCATGGGTGACCCTGCTGGTGTTTGAAATACTGGTGGCATAGCTTTCAGCATCCCAGCAACAGCAGCCACCATAGTATGACAAGGGACAGATGGGTGGTGTGACTCCTTGACTGGGAAACGAAGCTGGGCTGCAGCAGGGAGAGCACCAAATATTAACCATTAGACTACCCGGGCTGGCATACATTATAATACAGTTACATGTCACGCAAGCCTCAGGTGCAGAAATTTGAAATAGTAAATATTAAATATTTAATATAATATTTAATAAATATTTAATAAATATTAGTCTCACTTCGTATGCTAAGTCTGAAGAAATGCAAATCCCCCAAATTAAGAAAAAGTGTAAAAAGTCACATGATTCCAAAGCTGGAGAGACTAGCGAGTTGTAAGCATCCCCCTAGCTTCCCCACCCATCCACGCACACACATTTCACATATGTTCATATGAGACATAAGTCTTGAATCCTGGGAGTCATAATTTATTTGAGGTTTTCAAGAAGGTATTCTTGGGGCCGGCCCCGTGGCCGAGTGGTTAAGCTCGCACACTCCACTTCGGCAGCCCAGGGTTTCACCAGTTCGAATCCTGGGTGCGGACATGGCACCACTCATCAAGTCATGCTGAGGCAGCATCCCACATGCCACAATCAGAAGGACCCACAACTAAAAATACCTAAGTATGTACCGGCGGGCTTTGGGGAGAAAAAGGAAAAATAAAACTTTAAAAAAAAAAAAAAAAGAATGCATTCTTTACATCACTGCAACTGCCCTGTATAAGACTGTTTATTGCAGCGATATTTGGGTTTAAGAAAAAACCCATAAGGCCCTGCTGGGGGAAAATAAGATCAGAAATGAGTATCCTCTTTAAGAATGGAAATCAACTTCTATTCAGCAAAATGCTTGCAAACTAGATTTTGAAATCTAAAGAAGAAGTTGAGAAAAAAAATTTTTTGTGTGAGGAAGATTAGCCCTGAGCTAACTGCTGCCAATCCTCCTCTTTTTGCTGAGGAAGACTAGCCCTGAGCTAACATCCGTGCCCATCTTCCTCTACTTTACTTGTGGGATGCCTGCCACAGCATGGCTTGCCAAGTGGTGCATAGCTCCGCACCCGGGATCTGAACTGACGAACCCCAGGGCCACTGAAGCACAACGTGCAAACTTAACCACTGCACCACCAGGCCAGCCCACTAATGCTTTTTAAATGGTCTAGTAACCTTATTAAGCTTACTGCAAAGCTTGTTCTTAAAGGTATTGATTGAAACATAAATGCTTAATTTATCTGGATAGGATTAAGATAAACGATTCATTCAATCATCTTTCTACAGCAGTCTTTCCTAAAATAAAGCAATTCTTGATAGTTAGATTTTTTTTTTTTTTTTTTTTGAGGAAGATTAGCCCTATGCTAACATCTGCCACCAATCCTCCACTTTTTGCTGAGGAAGACTGGCCCATGACCATCTTCCTCTGCTTTATATGTGGGACGCCTGTCACAGCATGGCTTGACAAAGCGGTGCGTAGGTCCGCACGCAGGATCTGAACTGGCGAACCCCAGGTCGTGGAAGCAGAACATGCGAACTTAACCACTGCACCACCAGGCTGGCCCCTAGATTTCTAAAACTCCAAACACTTCCCAATTTTTATGTTAACTCCTCCCCACGTCCACATTTGTAAAAGATAAAAATAGGGGATTAACTAAATAAATCATGGTATATCCACCATGTAGAACACTATGGAGAAATTAAACAAGAGAAATATTTATTTAACGGTCTGGAAATACCTGTGATGCCCATGATTCAGTAAGTTAAAAAAGCAAGTTGCAGAATAACGTTTGTATGCATGATATAGTCCAATTCTTGTTTTAAAAATTCCTGTATGCATACAGAACATTTTTTGTACAGAAAAACGTCTACAAGGATTCACATTAAATCATTAACTGTGCTTATCGTTAGGGAGCAAAACTGAGGACGAGAAGAACTTTCGTGTGTTTATTTCTGATTTACTTCTCTTGGGAAGCAGTGGAGTTCAGCAGTTAAAGCTCAGGCTGCTTAGATTTGAATCCAAGCTCTACAATTTATTAGCTGTGTGATCTTGGGCAAGTTACTTAATCTCTCTGGCGTCAGGTTCCTCATTTGTAAAATGGGGATAGTAATAGTACTACCTACCTTAAGGGATGTTATGGCGATTAAATGAGCTAATACATGTAAAATGCTAAGAACTTAAGAGCTGAACCTATCACATAGTAAGTGCTACAAATTTTATCAAAAAACATTGTCTTTACAGTGAACATATATTCACGTATCAATGTAAAATCCCAACCAACCAGCCCAATCCTACAATAAATAATATGAAAACAGTACATATGGAGGGGGTATGATAAAAATAAAAAGCTCCCTAGGCAATTCTGATAATCAGCCAAGCTTGCAAACTACTGACTCAGGGGCCAAAAGCAGGAGTAAACCAGTTGAAGTATGGTTGAGTCTCAGCTGGGGAATGCAGGAGAATTCTGGAAGCAGAAAGAGACCACAAGAGACAAGAAAATAGCAGGTCGTGAAGCCCTGGTGAGAAGTCCCTGCTGAATCGGACTCCACAAGGAGAGGGCAGGGTGTGGGCCTGGCATCTTGTTCTGGCTTGTGTGTGAGAGCCCATAAGTAGCTGTCTTTTCTCCCTGCCTGAAGCTACAAGATGGGGCTCGTTGGGAGAAGCAACTTTAAGCAAGACACTCAGGCTGGTAACCGAGCCCTCCACCCCTGCCCTCGGACCAACCAACCAACCGTCCACCTCCTCTTAGCTCCAGGACCTCGGGAGGCACCTCCCACACACAGGAGAGTTAGAACCGCAAGGCAAAGGAGCTGGGACCAGAGCAACTGCCCCGGGCCACCCAGTTTGGGATGAGAAACCAGGCCTAGAACCTCATCTTCCCTCGCCTGTGCCCAGATGCACACCATCAAACCCATCCCCACCGCTGGATTTGACAAGAATGTGAAGAGCTTTCGACAGGGGGGCGAGGGAGAGTGGGGAGTATGCTCTGGTTCCCAAATTTTGGAGGGGAATCTTCTCAGACAAATACACGCGCACTCTTGCACACAATTAATTCCTGGGGAGCAAAGACCTCCTACAGCTAATGTGCGCCCCTGAGTTCGGAATCCCTGGGCAAGATCAACCTACTTCTGGTCTCCAACACAAGTTTAAAGTTTCTCGGTAATAGAGATGTAATTCTGAACTAATCTTACGTGCTCTTAAATAAACAAAAGTGGGATTACTGAGATTGGCACGGGGAGAGGAAAGCCTGGGATGGTGCCTCCTCAGCCCCATCTCTCCACCTCCCCCTAGAGATGGTGCGGAATCCTGGGGGAAGACAGATCTTTTCCTCCCCAGGGTTCTGTGGAACCTTGAGAGACTCTCACAAGGAGGAAGCAGCCACCAGAACTGCTGCCTCTTGGCTCTGAGTGGTCTCCTCAGATTTCAGACAGGAACGGAGCCGGAGCTGTGAGTTCAAAGATGGGCTAGAAGGGAAAAGGATGGTGTTCATCTGGCTTTCTTTCCCAGGATAAGGCATCTTGGTTCACTGGGCAAGTGGCAGGACCCCAACACCCTGAAGTTCAGTGGGACCAAAGCCGCTGCAGCCTGGTGGGGATTCTGTCAGCTTGAGGAATTAGCAGACCACTGACGCTCTAGGTAACCCGGAACCACAAGGGTGCCCAGATTTGGCTGGGGGAGGGGGCTCAGAGCATGCCAAGCTCCTCCACTCAGGGCAAGGTGGGGGAAGGTCTGTGATGCTGGCAGAAGGTGGGGGTGGGGTGAGGAGAGGCAGAAGATGAACAGCCAGAAGCAGATTCTCTGGGAGCTGTCAGTGAGAATGCTATCAGGCCTGGTATCTGAACCCTCCCTACTCCCCCCATCCTAAAAGGGAGGCCAGGGGTCCTGGATAGAAGTGCCCCCTCCCCCCGCTCCAGCGTCTGGTGATTAACAGAGGCCTGTGGAGGGAACAGGAATTTGAAGCTCTTGGGTCAGAAGTTTAACTATTTCCAAGCTTCTTCCAGCTTGGTTGGGGCCAGAAGACTCACAACCTCTTCCTCTCTCCCCCTAACCCCTAAATGGTTAGTGCCTCACACTTAGGAGTCCAACTGGGGTTCAAATCCTAACTCCACAATTTACTAGCTGGGTGACCTTGGACAGGTTACAAAGTTACAAGCCTAGGTTTCCTATCCAGTTAAATGGGGCCAACTCCACCGCCTCATGGGGCTTTTAGGAGGATTAAAGGGGCTTATTACATAAAGTACATAGTGTAGTTTCTGGAACTCAGTAAGCTCTCAGTAAATGGTATTTAGGTTGCTTTTTTTTTTTTGTGCTTTGCTTTGTTAGAAAACTCTTCCTCACGAGCCCTGCTGCCAGTTGGCAATGCCGGGAAACTAAATGAAACGAAGGGGAAAATTCAGCTGAGGCTGAACACGTCCTGGGGGTCTGGGAAAAGTCTGGAAGGAGAGTTGAGAAGGGATGCTGGGGGGCAGGGGGCAGTATCCTTATTCTAGAAGAGACCTCAAAGATGCTGGCTTCCAGGGGGGCACAACCGGGACTTCAGCCGCTTCTCCTGCCTTTCACAAACATCTCGCTGCCCGTTATGGGATGAGACAAATTCCAAGTGGGAGTGGACCCTGTCTACTTCTCCTTTTGCCTCCTCCCACCTTACACTCCATGGTCCAGCCAGACTAAATGTATTGAAATTCCTGGACCCCATATGCTGTTCCCTTGCCAGGAACACTCCCTACTACCTCTCATGCCCCAACCCCCTTGCCTACTCTTCCCCAGCCTCTGGCTTGGACATCACTTCCTCCAGGTCCACGCCCTCCTCAGTAACATGTCAGCAGCCCTTCTATGTGACTCTATATTCCCACCCCCCCAACTCCCACTTGATCATATATATAATATACATATGTCATGTATATATATTATACGTAATATGTGTGTGTATGTATATAACTTATTTTGTCTGTCTCCCTCCACTAGCAGGCAAATGGTCAATGAAGCCGCAGTTTTGTGCCTATTTTGCTCACTAATGTATTCCCAGCACCCAGAATAGTACCTGGCACTTAGTAGGTGCTCAATAAATATTTGCTGAATGAAATATTTTACTATTAAAACTGTCTGGTGACTGATCTGCTTCGTCTTCTAATCAGGGAGCTCACTGAGGTTAAGGAGCTGTGGGCCTTGCTCACCTCTGAGCATCCAGCACCCAGTACGTACTCAGACATTTGTTGGCCGAATGACCACTCAGCTTGGCCTTGGGCCTCAGACACTTCACCGTCTCTATCATGAGGGAGGAGCTGGACACCACCACCCTGGCCATATGAGGAGGCTGCTGCCCACCCACACACTGATTGGGATAAAACTCTCCAGCCAGGAAGAATCCCTCATCTAAGAAATTCAGGGCCCTTTCCAGATTTCTACTTTGGGGGAAAGCAACAAGTAGTAGCTCAAGGACAAATGGAACGATTTCTCCCCCAAGACGAAGGATATGACCAAATACATAATAAAGACTTGCAGTCTCTCAGCACAGGGCCAGGAGAGAATCAAGAATCCAGAAAGAAGCGGTCTGGTAAGGAGGCTGTTGGCGGGGTGGGGGGATGGTAGAGCCAGAAAAAGCTGACTTTTCAGTACCCAGCCACAGTACTGAGATTCTCAGGTAATTCTTAGTTAACTCAGCAGTTATGCTCCCAGGTGTGTACCTAACGGATTGTACGTGAAGTTTCACCAAAAGTCTGGAACGCTAATGTTCGCAGCAGCACTAATTGTAATAGCCAAAGAATGGAAACTTCTAATACCTACCTAGAACTGTAGATAGTCACAAAATGGAACCAATCGCACAAGGACAATCGACTACAACCATCTCCTGAACTAAAGAATCTCATGATGTGCAGTGAAAGCAGCCAGATCCAAGGGGATATTCTGTATGATTCTTTTACATAAAATTCAAATACAGGCAAATTAATCTATAGTATTAGAAGTCAGGATAGTGGTTTTTCTGGTGGGCGAGGGTGGAGACGGGGAAGGAAGGGGAATCTGAGGCACGGTGATGCTGTTTCTTGACCTGTGTGCTGGGAACATGGGGGTTTTAAATGTGATGTTCATCTAGCTGTGCATTTATCAGCCCGAAGCACTTTCCTCCACATACATTATTCTTCAATAACAATGGTTCTCTGAACAGAGAGACTTCAGCCTCAGAATCAAAGCCTCAGCTGATGTGGGCAGGGGAGGCCCTTCTCTCCCTCCTTCTCCTCCATCATCCTCCAAATGCTTTGCAGAGCTGTAGTTTCGAGACCTAGAAACTCATGGCTCATCGTAAGCAATGCCTCCCTCACACAGCTGAGAGGTGAGCACACCCTGCGCTGGGTAACCTAGGAACGGAGTGCTGTGCGAGGAGGTGGGGATGAAGACTAGAGATTTGAGACCTGCTCCCCAGGCACAAGCTAACGGTGATGTACGACAGGCTTCAGCAACCAACCTTCCTCCGCTGCTAAGCCAGCAAGGCAGCCTGCCAAGCTGGAAGCCCCAGTTCCCAGATATTCATTCCTCAGAAGCAGATTGATTGGGCACTGTGGAATCCCCCTGGGTTAAATCCTGGCCTTACTGCTGACTGCCCCAGTGACCTCATGCAAAGTTTCTTACCCCCATTTTACCGTTAAGGGAAAGTTACCAGCACCTGCTTTGCAAGGCAGTCATAAGCATAAAAAATAATATTAGACTGTAAGCTCCCCGAGGGCAAGGACTTAGTTTTGTTCATTGCCTTAGCTGCAGTTCTAGAAAAGTGCCTGATGCATGCAGATGCTAAATGTGTTTACCGAAAGAATAAAATGTAAATGGAGGGCACAGCCCAGAATGGGGGAATCCAAAACAAAAGGCAATTTTTACACAAGTTGAAATAAGCAAAACCATCTTGAAACGAACTCATGCTCAGTCAGATTCATTACTGAACTTTGAAGTTTCCTACCAAAGCTAATGAGAGTAAGCTTTAATCCCACCCAAATGCTGACTAAGGGTGAGTTGAACCTGCTGAGGGACCATAATGAAGTACTGGATTTCTTTACTGTAATTAAACTGCCTCTCTCAACTGTTCACCATCCAGGATGTACAGGCCACTTTAGGTCACTCACTTTTAACCACGGCACTAATACCATGCAAGGTCCTTCCTCCCACCTCTCCTCTGTATTTGTTTCCAGACCACACTCGAAGGAAGACAGACCCCAGGCTGTGGGTTTGGGGTGGGGGAACATTCCTGCTCTACCTTCCTCCAGACTAACCTGTCACTCTTGGTCTAGGCAAGCCCAGCTTCACCTGACCCAAGCCCCCATCACTAGGACGCTTAGAGACTGTAGCCAGGCCGGTTTCCTCTACAGGAATGGTTCCTGAAAACCCTGTCACAAAAAGGAATAAATGACTAAGCGCTTTCGGGGTACAGGGCTGTTATTGGTGTCTGCAGGATCTGGCGCTCCAGCATTCCACTCCATTTCATCTACCTCCCACTTACTGGTAATAAAAAATGCTGTGGAAGTTAGGAGTCAGAAACTTCCATTCAAGTCCCAGCTGGTCACTGCAGTGATGACTTTGGTGAAGCCACAACCACTCAGGTTTCATCTGTAAAATTGTCAAGATTGGTGTAAAGACCGACTGAGTATTCTATTAACTACCAGGTTCCGGGCATAAACCTAAAGGTGAAAGTCACGTCTGTGACCCTCAAAGGAAGCTCTCGAGCTGTTTAGCCTAGTGAATTGAATCCATTAGAAATGGTTCCTCCGTTTCTCCATCTTTAAAACTTTCAGCAGGGCTGGGCTATAAGGTTTCTGAAGTCCCAACTCTGAGATTAAGAGCTCAAGTTGCTTAATATTTACCTTACCAGCTTCCAGAGAATGTCAGGAGAATAAAGCAAGCTCAGAGTTGTGAAAGTGCTTTGAAGAGGAAAATGCACATACAAACAAGGTATTAATTATATCGGATAATTTCTTTGATCCCAACTTCATAGACACCTGTGATATTCATAACCCAGGGGCGAACAACAGGGGCAATTGTTCCTTAGCAATATGGAAACTATTGTCTGCTTGGCTGAACTTGAGAGTTTGTATGTACCCCGAGGATAACCCTTTCAATGTGGCTGGATCCAGGCTGGGGCTCCTGTGTACTGAGGATGGCAAGCTAGCGTTGAGTTCAGGAGGTAGAAAGACACCAGCAGTTGAAGAGTAGGGGAGAAATACCAATATTTTTTGTCAGGGAATCCCAATTTATTGAGACCAATTGGGCCCAGAAACTTACTTTTTCTTACAAAAGAAGGCAACAGCCTAAGTCACGGGAAGACCACTCTAGGAACCCGTCACGTTGCAGGGAGGCAGAAGTTTAGCCCAAGCACGTTAACCCACGCTTTGTTTTATAACCCAGGTGTGCTCCTGGCATGAACCCACCATTTTCACAACCATACACCAGACATCTGGGAAAGCGGAATTTTCTCAAAAGGTTTAGAATGCCTGACATCACCAAGAAACACTTGCCAACCGGACCATGAAATCGAAAACCTGATCACCGCTTCCCTTCAACAACTTCAAGCTTAGTGAAGTGACAGTTAATCTGATATTTCTTGCTTCAATAAGAAAGATAAAGCACAGACAACACTCAAAGCTGTAGCCTGCTCTCCGAGACTGTAGTCAGAGAACTTGACAATGACGGGGAGGGGGTGCAGATTTGGCAGAGGTCTGGTTGGCAATAAAGCTTCCTCAGGGAGCCGGAATTGGATTTGGGGCCCTGCCCAAGTTAACATTTTTACAGGTTGGCTGAGTTTCAGTTCGTTAGCCAGTCCGTAATAAACCCATGCGCAAGAATTTAAAGTTTATGAGGCATGGCCTCTTAATGCCTCTCCTTGGCTCCTACAGCCAAGTTCTAAGGAGCCTGGCCTAGCCTGGGTGTTAATTGTTTTGTCAATCTGCAGTTATTTGGGAAAAGAAAAAAAGACTTCCACAACTCAAGGCCTCCAATCCTCTTTAGGAGAAACAAAGGAGAGCCATTCTGTCCCCTAGGCATCACACCCTCACATTCAAGCTGTGGGAATTTGTACCTGGGGGGAGGGGTATGTTGATGGGGGCACTAGAAAAATGCTAGGTGGCAACGTTAATTGTTTTGAAAGCCAGGTAAATTGCAGATCCCTTCCCCAGAAAAATGCATACACAAGTTCTTAGATAATTTCACAGGTTAAGGATCCTCTGGAATCCCACCCAAGCATCCTGGGTTGCACCTCTGTTTAAGAACTTGGTTTTGATCCAGTGGAGGAACCCCCAATGTCCTGGAGGAAGGGAAAGAGGCCCTCATAAGTGGCAGCTGCCTGGGTCTCATAACACACTGGTTCTTCACACCAAAGTGACCCCCCTACTCTCAAATTCTTGAACTTGGAGTGAGGGAGAATAAGTAATTGAGAGATCAAAAATGTGCTTTGATCTCTCATCCACCGCCCCCGCAGCTCGAAGATCTTCGGGCTTGAGACTCCCTACTCCCTCAAGCGCCCTAACATTCCAGTCCCAAGACTGGGGGGGGGGGGGGGCAGGTGTCCCCAGTGCGAGATGGCCCCAGTGCAGGTGTGGCAGGCCGTTTCCTGGCAGGCTGCAGTGGCGCAGGCCCTCCGGGAAGGGCAGGGTTAAGAGTGCATTCCAGCTGCCGGGGAAGAAGGGGGGCGGGGGAGGGGAGCGAAGAAGAGAAACAGACCCGGTCTGTCTGTCGGAGACACAAAGCACGGTACACAAAGGGGGCCCGAGAGGGGCGAAGGGGGCTGCCCGGGGCACGGCTCATCCCCACACCTGCGCGGGGGTTGAGGGAGGAATGTGGACGGCGCATTCCTCTGCTGGGGCCAGCGGGGGAGAGCTTCCCACGTCCTGGCTGCGCAAGGAGTTCAGCCGTCCCGCACCCCGAAGGAGGCGGTCAAGCTAAGCCACCGCAGCGGGGCAAGAAGGGCTAGACGTCAGAGGGCGCTATGCTCTCCGTCCTTCTCTGTCAGCCGCCCAACCCCATGCTAGCCCTCGAGATGCTTTCTGCGTCTCCCCCATACCTGAGGCAGGTCCCGAAGGCGCCCGCCCCAGCCTGGACACCCCTCGCGCGGGCCATACGGGAGTGGCCCACGTGGGGTCCCCGCCCTGCAATTCCACCCGGCGGGCTCCTGGAGGGTCTTACCTTTCCCAGGCTCCTGGCCTGGTTCCAGCTCCACGCCTCGCGCCTCCACGGTCACTTCAGCCTCCTCGAAGCCCGCCCCGCACGGCTCGGAGGCCACGCACGGCAACCAGCAAACCTGCGCCTGAGAGAAGAGAGGGAAAAAAGGGAGGCTGGGTCACAGGCGTGCCCGGCCCTGCACACCCATCCCGGGATTCCTTACGGGGCTCCCTGGACTCCTTACGGGGCTCCCTGGACTACCTTGGCGCCAAGGAACCGAGCCCCGCGCTCTCCCGACGCCACCGCCGTGTGCGGACCCCGCCCGCCCTCCAGGGAGCGTCCCGGCCGGGGCAAGAGCAAGCCAGTGGAGTACCTGGAGTAGGAGGAAGAGGAGGGACGAGGGAGGCCCACTAGGGAGCCTCATGGCTGGAGAGAGAAGGGTGAAGAAGGTGCCGCGACGGCGGGCCGGTGCTCCACTAAGCTCTCCGCGCCCCTTTGAGTGCCGTGGTCCGCGGGAGCCTGCGGGAGGAGGCCAGGTGAGCGCAGGTAGGTGCTGATTGGTCCAGCGCCGAAAGGTCCCGCCCCCTCGCAGGTGGGGCCGCGGCTGGCGTGGTCCAGGCCTCTGCGAAGCCCCTCCTGTCCTCCCTGTTGCCCTCCTGCGTTCTCTCGGCTTTTTTGGAGCTGCTCCCGGCAGGGAACCAGGACCTGTCTCGCAGGTTCTGGGTTCGAGGAAAAAACAACACCCCACCCGCCTCCTCAGCCTCTTCAGCACGCGGAGAAAAGTGTTTCTGTGCCTTGAGGCTACAGTGGAAAAAGAATGGAGACGCATCTGAACCCGACTGGAAACAGAGGCGCCCCATTCATGCTCCCCTGAGGCGCTGTGTTATCCAAAGCTTTGATGGAGGCCGGGTGTGTCCGCTCCACACCCGGCTGCGGCGGGGGCTGCCCCCTGCCTCTTTCTCCGCCTCCCACGCCAGCCCGCTCCAAGGACTCCGAGGGTTTAAAACTGGCAGTGAGGTCCCGAGGGACTGCGTTACAGAATCTGCTACAACTTGCGGAAGACTCATTACTTCCCTTGCAAAGCTGAACAAATGGAGGGTAGGAGAGAAGGTCCCAGATTTCGGAAGCCGTGGTGGCGCCAAAGGATGCGAGGCAGAGGGGTGGTTATTAGCCCCATCATCTCCAGCAACACCCCCTCCCCCCCATAAAATAGAAATAACACTTTCTCAACTTTATGTAAAATGTAAATAACGGCATTTTTTTAAGGCGACTTTTTATTGGTTTAAAATACTGAATATAATCTAAGTAAAAACTGTGCTTGGCGCGCAAAGCAGCCTTCCAGTGAGCCTCCCTTCGAAACAGGTCTCCTACATCCTTCCTGGGAGACACGTGGCGGAGCTGGGATTCCTTCCTCTACTTCAGAGCCGAAGTGCTTTTCTCTGGGCGGCACACAAGTGGGCCCCGGGCACAGAAACGCAATCTCTCCACCCTGCACGCCCTCTCCCCACCGAGCTGAGCTTTCCTACCCTCTGGTTCCCAGGTGTCCCCCCTTCCCTAGCTGCCTTGAGAACCCCAGGCTGACGCCTCCTCGTCCTCTTCTCCCTCCGCAGCTCTGATTTAGGGGTTTGAGGAGGAGACTGGAGTCTCTAATTATAGATTCTTTGGCCCTCAAGGGCTAACGCGATGGCCTGCCTGTCCTTCCCACCACCAGGCCTGGTGGCTAAGAGGAAGACGGCTTGTTTTGCGTCGGTAGGAGTCCTCTCTCTAGCTTCTGGGGCCGCACTGCCTGCGTTCAAACCCAGGTTCCACAACTTATTAGCGCTGTGGCCTCAGGCAGATGAAATAACCCCTCTCACACTCAGTTCTGCATGCGTCAAATGGGGCTATTATGACATCTGCCCTCCGAAGTACTAGGATTAAAGGAATTAATACATATAGGCGAGGATAAAGTTAATTAACACGTTTAAAAAGCTAAACTCAGTACCTGGCACAGACCAAGTGCCCAAATGTTGCCTGTATCATTGCTTTAGGATCCGGCTCATTTGCCCTCCTCCACCGCCTCGCGAGCGGTTTCTCTCCTCTGTAGCATCCTCATGTTCCCCAAACTAACAGTAAGGAGAAATGCTGTAATCCTTCAATTTCACGGCTGAGCGTAAAGCGAGCAATTGGCATCTGGTTTCACGGGAGCGCTCGGATACCCGGCCTGTGGTCCCTGCAACTGTGGGTTTGGAGCGGACAACGCGCAGGAAGAGCCCGAGGCAGTTCGCTGAGCTCCGCGCCTCCCTCGCCTCGCTCTCCCGCAGGGGGCGCTTCCCTTGCCCGAAGGGAGATTAGATAGCCGCATCCTGGCGGCGCGGGCCCCAGACTGGACGCTGTGGCCCCGCCTATCCTAGCCTCGCAGGTTCCTCAGCGCCTGCCCGGAGCCAGATGAAACCATTAGGCGGACAGTTAAACACAAACGAGCCTCGGGATACAGGCCCTAATTAAGTAAACACTCGGCAGGAGGGCTGTTGAGCGCGCTCATTTCCGCCTCCTTCCAGGGCACTCAGCATTCCAGGCGGGGGCGAGGAGAGGAGAGAAGAGGAGAAATTGAGAGTCAGCTCTTCTGCCTGCAGCTTGGACCACGCTGCTGCCTTTTCCTAGCTCCCCTTGTCGGTCGTTCATTCATTCATTTATCCATTCAACAAACATTTACTCATAGCCTGCTGTGCGCCAAGCAGTGGAGATACAAAGTGAACAAAACAGAGAAACATCCTTGCGCTCTTGGACCTTCCATCCCAGAGTGTGGGGGGTGGAGGAAAATAAACAAGTAAATATATAGTGTTAGATAATATGTGCTGTGTAGAAGAACAAGGACAGAATGGGAAGTGGCAATTCACAGAACAGAAGGTAGGGTTGGAAATTGTAAATAAACTGATCCAGAAGGTGTTTCGGTCCAGGTCTAGCAGGAGGCAGAATCCAGCTTAGATAGATCAAGTCTTAGAGAAGGGTCTAGACGAATGGACAAAGTTCAGGAACCCAACAGGGCTTTTGAGGCACCACAGACAGCAGAAGGGGTTACAACTTTGAGACTGAAGGGCAAAGGGAGGAAATGGTATCATTGGAAGTCGGGGGTTTGGGGGGGAGCTGGGGAGTGGAGGACCACCCCTCCCAATTGCAGCTGTGGTCCAGGAGGGACTGGGCCAACTGTCCAGAGCAGAGCAGGGGCGACACAGGGAAAAAATACCGCAACATCTCTCTCCTTCTGCCCTTCATCTCCTGGCAGTGCCTCCGGTGGACCAAACCCGCCCAGAAGCCTGAGGGCAAGAAAACGTAGGCGGTGGGGTCCGTAGTGGTCACTCTCCCCAGGCACAGGGCAGGGCGGAGAAAGGCAGAAAATGGAGGAGGGGCAGATGTTCAATTGGGAAAGACCAGAGCCCTCAGTGAGAAATGGACATTTGAACAAAATCTGAAGGAAGTGAAGGAGCAAGTTACACTAAGATATCTGAAGAAAGAGTATTCTAAGCAGAGAAAATAGGGCAAAGGTCTTGGGGCAGTAGATTAGTCGAGACAACAAAAAATCAAACTGTGTGTCTGCAGTAGAGTGAACAAGTAGGAAATGAGTCCGAGTTGGGAGGGTGGGAGTAAATCTTGAAGAGCATCATAGGCCATTGTAAGAACTCTGGCTTTTACTCTGAGAGGGAGGGCAGGAAGGCACTGGAGGTTGTGAGCAGAGGTGTGATGCTGACAAGACCACAGGGGATGAGGGCAGAAGCAGGGAGGTCAGCTGGGATTCTGTTGCAATCATCCAGGCAAAAACTGAAATGGCTTGATTCAGGGTGGTCATTGTGGAAGCAGTAAGAAATGATCAGATTGAAAAAAAACCCCAGAAAATAACAAGTCTTGTTGAGGATGTGAGAGAAATTGAAATGCTTATTTACTGTTGGTGGGAATGGAAAATGGTGCAGCCACTATGGAAAACGGCATGGCCGTTACTAAAAAAAATTAAAAATAGAATTGCCACATGATCCAGCAATTCCAGTTCTGGGCATATACCCAAAAGAATTGAGTACAGGAACTCAAACATCCGGGTATCCATCTCATGGATATTTGTACATCCATTTTCAAAGCAGCATTATTTGCAATAGTCAAGAGGCGGAAGCAACCCAAGTGCGCATTGACAGATGAATGGATAAACAAAATATTTAACAGGTCCAGAGTTCCAGTTTTGCAAGGTGCAAAGAGTTCTGTGGTTGGATAGTGGTAATGCTTGTACAACACTGTGAATGTACTGAATGCCACTGAACTGTACATTATGTGTATTTTACCACAATTTAAAAGAGTTACTAATGGGGGCCAGTCTGGTGGTGCAGCAGTTAAGTTCTCAAGCCTTGCTTCGGCGGCCAGGGTTCACCAGTTTGGATCC